ATCGGAAGGCTGAGGCAGGAGAATCACTTGAACCCAGGAGGCAGAGGTTGCAGTGAGCCAAGATCGCACCACTGCACTGCAACCTGGCTACAGAGCAAGACTCCATCTCAAAAAAAAAAAAAAAAGAAGAAAACCTAGGAGAAATTAAGGATTTCAAATGGAATAGAAATTATCTTACACTCTAGGGTCTAAGTGAAAGGCATATATGTTTAAAATGTAAAAGAAAGAAAACATATTACTTTCTTCTTTTTGAGGCAGAGTCTCACTATGTCACCTAGGCTGTAGTGCATTGGCCCTAACATGGCTCAGTGCAGCCTCAACTGCCCAGACTCAAGTGATCCTCCCATCTCAGCCACTCCACCAAGGAGCTGGGACTATAGGCACATGTCACCACACTTAGCTAGTTTTTAAATCTTTTGTAGAAACGGGTTTTGCCACGTTGTCCAGGCTTGTCTTGAACTCTGGGAATCGAGCAGTTTGCCCTCCTTGGCCTCCCAAAGTGCTGAGATTACAAGGTGAGCCACCATACCCAGCCTCATATGACTTTGAATGAGGCATTTGCTTATGCTTTATAAGGTACTAGTAGTAAAAACTATTTAGAGTGATGCACATAAATAACGGTTCAGACATAAATATAAGATCTAAAGCTATAAAACTACTAGAATTTTCAGGAAAACCACTTCAGGACATCGGGTCTAAGCAAAGAGTTTATGGCTAAGACCGCGAAAGCACAAACAGCAAAGACAAAAATAGCTAGATTGGACTATATTAAACTGAAAAGCATAGCAAAGGAAATAGCAGAGTGAAGACATAACCTGTTGTATGGGAGAAAATGTTTACAAACTATTAATCCAACAAGGAACCAAAGTTGAGAATGTACAAGAAACTTAAACAACTCAACAGCAAAAAGCAAATAAGCCCATTAAAAGTGGGCAAAGGATGTGAATAGACATTTCTCAGAAGACACAAATGCCCAATAAATATATGAAAAAATGTTCAATATCACTAATCATCAGGGAAATGCAAATGAAAACCACAATAAGGTATCACCTGTGACAGAGGGGTTATTACTAAAAGGACAGAAAATAACAGATGCTGGTAAGGATGCAGAAGAAATTCTCTCCTTTTTTTTTTCTTTTTTTTTTTTTTTTGAGACAGAGTCTCACTGTGTTGCCCAGGCTGGTGTGCAGTGGTGTGATCTTGGCTCACTGCAACCTCCACCTGTTGGGTTCCAGCAATTGTCCTACCTAAGCCTCCCGAGTAGCTGGGATTACAGGCATGCGCCACCACGCCCAACTAATTTCTTTATATTTTTAGTAGAGATGGAGTTTCACCATATTGGCCAGGCTGGTCTCGAACTCCTGACCTTGTGATCCGCCCACCTCAGCCTCCCAAAGTGCTGGGATTACAGGCATGAGCCACTGCACCTGGCAGAAGAAATTCTTTTACACTGTCAGTGGGAATGTAAATTAATACAGCCACTATAGAAACATAGTATTTCTCAAAAAAACTAAAAGAACTGCCATATTATCTGTCAATTCCACTATTGGGTATTTATTCTAAGGAAAATAAATCAGTATATCAAAGGGATACCTTCATTTGCATGTTCAGTGCCACACTGAACAGTGTTCACAACAGCAAAGAAAATACTCAACCTGTGTCCATCAACGGATGGATAAAGCAAATGTGGTACATATACACAATGAATACTATCCAGCCACAAAAAAGGGTGAAATTATTTCCTCTGCAGAAATGTGGAAGGAACTGGAGGCTATTGTGTTAAGTGAAATAAGCCAGGCACAGAATGACAAGTATCCCATGTTCTCTCACTCGTATGTGGAAACTAAACATGTTGATCTCATGGAGGCAGAGAGTGGAATGATGGTTACCAGAAGCTGGGAAAGGTGTCTGGGTTGGAGGGGGGGGTGAAGAAAGGTTGGTGAATGGGTACAAATATACAGTGAGATATGAAACAAAGGAATGTTTAATAGTAGACTAGGGTAACTACTATAGTTACAGTGAATGATTTTTATATATTTCAAAATAGCTAGGAGAGAAGACTTGAAATGTTCCCGGCACTTAGAAATATTTGAGGTGATAGATACCCCAGATACCCTGACTTGATCAGTACATACTCTATGCATGTAATAAAATATCCCATATACCTCCTAAATATGTAAACCATCATGTATCAATTTTTCAAAAAGTATAGCAGTTTGGTACAAAAACTAGCTGGGCAAGGTGGTAGCCACCTATAGTCCCAGCTACTCCGGAGGCTGAGGCAGGAGGATTGCTTGAACCCAGGAGGCAGAGGTTGCTGCAGTGAGCTAAGATGGTGCCACTGCACTCCAGCCTGGGTGACAGAACAAGACTCCATCATAAAAAATAAAAAAAATTAAAAAAAAAAGTGTAGCAATTTAGTATTAAACTGAAAAGATTGAAGAACCTAACAAATAATCTTTAAACCAGTCAATACCCTATGTAATTTGTTTACCAATAAATTGGATGGAACAAATGGAACTTTGTAGCAGACACAGGTGGTTTATTTTTAAATGAGGAAGGAATACAAATTCCCCAGGAGATAATCTTTTTCTCTAAGAACATAAAGTTTTATGGAGGAGCTAGAATATTCTCATATGAAAAATACCTAAGAATATATGAAAGTAATATATAAAACAGAAAACTATTATATATATATTAACAATAACTTAGTTGTTCAGTTTTTAGTTACTGCTGAACATCCTGATAATTTAAATAAATCACTGTTTTTTCCCTAACCCTGTGTTAATTTCTACTCTGTTCCTCTCCTAGCCAGTCTACTTATGTGAATGTATTTTTCCAGTCACCAAGACTAAGAATCAGTATATTAGAGTCGTCTTTGTCTTTCATCCTTCCCTTATCAGTGTCCATTTCTACTTATTTAGGCCTTCAGTGCATATTACATCTTACATTTTATAACAGTTTATACATTTTAAAAGATTTCCATCATTACATAATCACTGTGAGTTAAGCAGAAGTGATTAACATTTCATCACTCAAGTATTTATTGAGGGCCTACAAGGTGAGTGACATATAAATAAGGATGCAGAATCAGACAGGTTAAATGACTTGCCCAAGGTGACAGGATCAGTCATTACTAGCAGTCCTGTAATTCTAATGTCAACATTCTTTTCATTACACTATGATGCCTCTTAACTCATATTTGGTCCATTACTGTACATTCACAGTGGGCTTCTCTGCCTCTGCTTTTCCTTCTCCAGACTATCTTGCACATCACCATTAAATTACACAGTTGGCTGGGCGTGGTGGCTCACCGCTGTAATCTCAGCACTTTGGGAGGCCGAGGTGGGCAGATCATGAGGTCAGGAGTTCAAGACCAGCCTTACCAATATGGTGAAACTCCGTCTCTACTAAAAATACAAAAATTAGCTGGGCATGGTTGTGCCCACCTGTAATCCCAGCTACTCAGGAAGCTGAGGCAGAATTGCTTGAACTCGAGAGGTTGAGGTTGCATTGAGCCAAGATCATGCCAGTGTACTCCAGCCTGGGCAACAGAGCGAGACTCCATCTCAAAAAAAAAAAAAAAAAAAAAAAAATTAAACACAGCTTTCATTATAATGTAGCACAATAAAGAACTTTTCAATGGTTTCCTATTGTATATAGGATAAAAATTTTATCTCTGCTTTTACACGTGAAATCTCTATTTAACTGTGATCCTCATATTCTTTTGAACATACTTTTACTTTTCTAAGAGTATGCCTTTGCTTTTAGCAGTGTTAACCTTGAGTTTCAAGTCTTTAAATAACTGTTATTGCCATAGACCTAGGTATTTATGCACCAAGCATTAGCTATAGACTACATATATGTACAACAGCTACCCTGTGTGTTTTGAGAGAGGATACAGAACTTCTAGTAAAGTTTTTGATAGTAAAAAAAAAAGTCCCCTTGGCTGGGTGAGGTGCCTTATGCCTGTAATCCTGGTGTTTTGGGATGCCAAAGCAGGAGGATCACTTAAGACCGGGAGTTTGAGACCAGCCTGAGCAACATAGTGAGACCCTGTTTCTACCCCAAAAATAAATAAATAAATAAAAATGTCAAGCATGGTGGTGCATGCCTGTAATCTCAGTTACTCAAAGAGGCTGAGGCGGGAGAATCAGTTGAGGCCAGGAGTTCAAAGCTTCAGTGAGCTGTGATCAGGCCATTGCACTTCAGCCTTCATGACAGAAAGTCTGTCTTAAAAAAAAAAAATCTTTTAGAGTTTCACTTCTGATAATTAAGAACTAAGTGGTTTTGACCATACTTCTGCTGTGAACAAGTATAAAAGCTAGACCAAAATAAACGAACACCCGTTTAAAGGCACTTGTTAGTGAAAAGTTGTACTTTCCACTATCACAACAAAGAAAAAGGCAAAATATGTGGCAGGCGTCTTTAGATTTGGAGGCAAAACATAGTACAATTGGGTAAGCTGTTCTTAGATGCTTAACTGTAACTATAAGACTACCAGTTTTGGCCAGGCACAGTGGCTCACACCTGTAATCCCAGCATTTTGGGAGGCTGAGGCAGGCAGATAACCTGAGGTCCGAAGTTCAAGACCAGCCTGGCCAACATGGTGAAACCCCATCTGTACTAAAAATACAAAAATTAGCCAGGTGTAGTGGTGCACACCTGTAATCCCAGCTAATTGGCTGAGACAGGAGGATCCCTTGAACCTGGGAGGCAGAGGTTGCAGTGAGCCAAGATCTTGTCACTGCACTCCAGCCTGGGTGACAGAGCAAGACTGTGTCTCAAAAAATAATCCAGTTACGAGTGGGGTGGGGCCCAGACTTAGGCTTTATGATTCTGTAGACCCAATGGTATTGGAAGTTAATGTAAGAGAGATGTTATATGAAGCCTCTGGCAAGTTTCAGTGCAAGAATTACAACATAGACCCTTAAGGTTTTGGAGTAAGGCTGTATTTTCCTTAACCGTGGTTTTGTTTCTTTTTTTTTTCCTTTGAAAAGCACCTGTTGATTTGTGCTGGTACCTGGAAGAGATGTAACACCTGATCATGGGACATCAAGTGACTGTGTGAATCAAACTGCGCATCATGAATTGGTGTTATTTGACTCACCAAATTGTACAACTGAATGAGCACAGGAACAGTGCACTACATATGGGACTGGAACCATGAATGAGCAGGTGACTAGACTCCTATAGTACCTGCCTCTATTCCTTCAACACTTCTCCCTCAATGCACATAAACTGTCATCATAAGGAGTTCCCTCTGACCAGTTAATGGAAGAGAAAAAAGTATGGATCTTGTGGATATCCTAACACATCTCTGGCCATTGGACCCCTAGAAACCTGTGGCAAGTCCTGGAAGTTTTTCAAGGTTCATCTTGCACCTTTCTTACCAAAACATGTAGAATGCTGCCTACTTCTGCTCATCAGTTTTATTTAATATAATTTCATTACTATAATGGATCAGTATGATGTTCTATGGAATCACAAGATCATCAAGGTCCCTTCATACCATATAGAGAACAGCAGAGTTGATGTAGCCTGAGACAAGACAGTAAGGACTTACTGTTGTCCCTCCTATGTAAATATTTCAATGCAGTTTGTTTCTGATCCTCCTTATGAGTAGAATGGGGGTGGGGGACATTTCCAGATCAATATCAGATCAGTATCATGTCAACATGTATATTAATTTCTTCCAAAGAAGATACCACACCTAGAACTGTCATTCCCTATGATGAATCTGGTGGCCACAGGAAATTTAAATGGGAATGTGGTATGAATCACCTTGGCAGCATGGTGGCACTAATCTCTGTAATTTCTTTTGCTTTTTTATATTTTGTAGAAATGGAGTTTTGCTCTCTTATCTAGGCTGGTCTCAAACTCCTGGGGTCAAGCAATCCTCCTGCCTTGGCCTCCCAAAGTGCTGGGGTTACAGGCATGAGCTACTGTGCCTGGCCAATCTCTACAATTTCCTCAGGGATATGGTACTGCTTTTCCTTTACTATGTTAATAAGGAGTGGCAGAAAGCAGACCTAAGCTGCTGTGTAGCTCTTTCCACAATGATGGTACTCCATGGATCAGGAACCAAAATAAAGTTTGTTATTAAAATATATCTGTTACTACAACACGTGGGACTGGAGAAGCAACCACAGTATGGGCCACTCTGGATGCACTGTTAGCCACAATCAGGCCAAGATTCTATCACTTGACTTGCTTAGGTCCCCTATTTTGACCACTTGTCCAAGGTAGAATTTATAGTTTTGGGTTTCTAGTATTAGTACAAGTTTAGAAACAGTGCCTTATGAAATCTGGCCAACAGGGTGTGGTGGCTCATGCCTGTAATCCCAGCACTTTGGGAGGCCAAGGCAGGTGGATCATGAGGTCCGGAGTTCAAGAACAGCCTGGCCAACATGGTGAAACCCCATCTCTACTAAAACTGTTAAAATTAGACAGGTGCCGTGGCAGGCACCTGTAATCACAGCTACTCAGGAATCAGAGGCAGAAGAATCGCTTGAACCTAAGAGGTAGAGGTTGCAGTGAGCTGAATCACACCACTGCACTCCAGTCTGGGCGACAGAGTGAGACTACCTCTCAAAAAAACAAAACAAAAAAACAATTCTAGCCAGCCCGGCCAACATGGCGAAACCCCATCTCTACCAAAAATATAAAAACTAGCTCAGCATGGTGGTGGAGGCCTATAGTCCCAGCTACTCGGGAGGCAGAGGCTATAGTGAGCTGAGATCACGCCATTGCATTCCAACCTGGGTGACAGAGTGAGACCGTGTCTGAAAAACAAAAAGAATTTGGCTTATTTTGCTAATTGTGGCCATTTTGTCTCTGATATGTATTTACTTATATTTTTAGTTATTTTGAGATAGAGTTTCGCTCTGTTGCCCAAGCTGGAGTGCAGTGATGGGATCTTGGCCCACTGTAACCTCCACCTCCCAAGTTCAAGCCATTCTCTTGCCTCAGCCTCGTGAGTAGCTGAGACCACAGGTATGCACTACCACACCCAGCTAATTTTTGTATTTTTACTAGAGATGGGGTTTCACCATGTTGGCGAGGCTGGTGTCAAACTCCTGGCATCAAGTCATCCACCTGCCTCAGCCTCCCAAAGTGCTGGGATTACTGACATGAGCCACCGCACCTGGCCTGTCTCTGATATTTATATGCCATTATGTGGCCTCTACTGCCTTGGGATTCTAATGTTCCCACTAAGATCAGTAAACCCAGTTCCACTACAGTATTCATCACCATTATCTCTTGAAAACAAAGCCACTTCAGAGCTCCTTGGAAATGGTGGTGCTCCCATCATCATTGCATTCCTTAATGACATGGTGAAAATTAACAATGGTTAGGGAGCCTTTGTCTTTTCTGCTCTACAATATGCCCAGGAATTTCTGGCATTTTGGCCATCTTATTTATAGGCTATTACTGAATTTAAGTCTCATCCTACCAAATTATTAATGCCAAAATATTAAATCTTGATTCTTAGGTAAGTGCACCCATGCCAATAAATTTGCCATGATCTAATTTTAAATGTATTCCCATATAGCTGTCCAGGATCCCGCTGATTAAAATGGCAAGGCCATTAGTTCTCCTATGAAGGCTTTCTCTTTACAGAGAACGCCTCATACCTCTCTGACTAAGCTATGTTGATCTATAACTGGAGGCACTAATAGGTAGTAAGGGTAAGTTCTTTATTTTATTAACATTTTTTTGGAGACAGGATCTTACTTTGTTGTTCAGACTGGAGTGCTGTGGTGTGATCATGGCTCATTGCAACCTGGAATGCCTGAGCTCAAGTGATTCTCCCACCTCAGCCTCCTTGAGTAGCTGAGACTACAGGCGCATACCACCCTTCATGGCTAGTAAAAAAAAAAAAATTTTTTTTTTAGGAGATAGAGCCTTGCTGTGTTGCCTAGGCTGGTCTTGAACTCCTGGACTCAAGCATTCCTCCCACCACAGCCTGCCAAAGGGCTGGGATTACAGGCATGAGCTACCATGCCTAGCCCCAGCCGCTAAGTTCTGAAGAGAGCATGTATCAGCTTGTAAAGGAGCTTGTCCACTGCAGTCACTGAAAGCCTCTATGCATAAGAGCCTGGTTTCCTCAGAAAGAGGTTTAGGGGGAATATTGATGTTCAGAGTTTTCAGCTTCATTTTCCTCTGCTCAAATATCCCTATCCTATGTCTTAGGACCACACTCTCCCCACCAATGCCCTAATATTAGAATAGGAAAGGGGAAGAATTAAGCATGTAATTGATACTACAAATCTACGATATCTGCCTGGTGATTACAAAAGATAATCAACTCCTTCAGACCTGTACTGGAGTTCTGATGCTCCACATAGAGTCATTTTCTTTTTGTTGTCATAATTGTTTTTTGTGATAGTGTCTCTGTCACCCAGACTAGAGTGCAGTGATGCGATCTCGGCTCCCTGCAACCTCTGCCTCCCAAGTTCAAGTGATTCTCATGCCGTAGCCTCCGAGTAGCTGGGACTACAGGTGTGTGCCACCACACCCGGCCAATTTTTGTATTTTTTCATCTAGATGGGGTTTTACCATGTTAGCCAGTCTGGACTTGAACTCCTGGCCTCAAGTGATCCACCCACCTCAGCCTCCCAAAGTACTGGGATTACAGGTGTGAGCCACTGCACCTGGCCACCACATACAGACTTAATTGTAGTTTTTATGTTTTTCTTATGTATTTTTCTTTTCTTTCTCTTAGAGATAGGTCCCACTCTATCACCCAGGCTGGAGTGCAGTGGCATGATCACAGCCTACTGCAGCCTCAAAATTCTGGGCTTAGGCAACCCTTCTGCCTCAGCCCCCTGAGTTGCTGGGACAACAGGTATGTGCCACTATGCCTAGCTAATTAAAATAACATTTTTAGAGATCGGGTCTTGCAATGCTGCCCAGGCTGGTCTCAAACTCCTGGCCTCAAGAGATCCTCCCACCTTAGCCTCCCAAATAGGAGAGTACAGGTATGAGCCACCATGCCCCTTAACCCACTTATGCCTAGTGTTCTATTATTGGAACACTAAGCATGTGGGAGTTATTTATAGCCAACTGCTCAAGGTCATTGCCAAGGTCTGATTTTTCACTCATGCAAAATTCAAAAAATTGCAACCTCTGGCATAAATGGGTTAAGTACTTTCTGTTTCCGACCATAAGAAAAGTCAGGTGGATCTATAATCTTTATAATTACTATGGTTACCATGGTGATACACTCCTCACCCCCTTCACTCAATTTCATGTTGTTACTGGTAATCATACTACCCCAAACCAACTGGGCACAGTGATTCATTCCTGTAATCCCAGCCCTTTGGGAGGCGAAGGCAGGAGGATCTCTGGAGCTCAGGAGTTTAAGACCAGCCTGGGCAATATAGTGAGACTCTGTCTCTACAAAAAATAAAAATAGGTCAGGTGCAGTGGCTCACAACTGTAATCCTAGCACTTTGGGAGGCCAAGGCGGGTGGGTCACCTGAGGTCAGGAGTTCAAGATCAGCCTGGCCAACATGGTAAAACCCTGTTTTTACTAAAAATACAAAAATTAGCTGGGCGTGGTGGTGGGCACCTGTAATCCCAGCTACTCAGGAGGCTGAGGCAGGAGAATCGCTTGAACCTGGGAGGCGGAGGTTGCAGTGAGCCGATATCACACATTGCACTCCAGCCTGGGCAACAAGAGCAAAACTCCATTGTAAAAAAAATAAAAATAAAAATAAAAAATAAGTATAAATATAAATTGGCTGGGTATGGTAGTGCACATATGTAGTCCAAGCTACTCAGGAAGCTTAGGCAGGAGGATTGCTTGAGCCAAGGAGGTTGAGGCTGCAGTGAGCTATGGTCACACTGCTGTACTCCAGTCTGCGCAACAGAATGAGACCCTGTCTCAAAACAAACAAAAAAAAAAAACCACAAAAAAACGTAAATACTGTAAGCTATGGATTACCTATAGTCTGTGGTCTCTCTTTCCTTACAGCAATGAGGTTATTCCTCTGATTGATTTTATGTGTGTGTGCGTGTATCCCATCCAATCTCAAAATCTTACTTGAGGGTCCATTTCCTGTTCTGACCTCTGTTGCAAATTACCATATTTTTAGAGTCTTAAGAAGAAATAGAGGACAGATTAAAAATAAGAAGGCTGAGTATGGTGGCTCATGCATGTAATCCCAGCACTCTGAGAGGCTGAGGCAAGAGGATGGCTTGAGCCCAGGAGTTTAAGACTACCCTGGGCAACATGGTGAAACCCTCTTGCTACAAAAAGTACAAAAAGAATAGCTGGGTGTGGTGGCGCACACCTGTAGTCCCAGCTACTTGGGACGCTAAGGTAGGAGGATAGCTTGCGCCCAGAAGGTCGAGACTGCAGTGAGCGCTGGTCGTGCTACTGCATTCCAGCTTGGGTGACAGAGTGAGACCCTGTTTCAAAAAACAAACAAACAAAAAACTAGTAAAATACATTACATTAAAATTAAGAACTTCTTTTTGTCAAGGCACCATTACAAAAAGACAAACCACAATATAAGAAAAGATACTAGCCACACATATATTTGACCAAGAACTCATATCCAGAATATATAA